CCTCTATCCGGAGGGCTTCATCAGTCTGAGGAGCCCCAAGTAAACTGTTTCCCCACTAAGCAGTACACTCCTTTAGTGGACCAACCAGTTTGCTGGTGATAAGATGATTTCTGGAGGCTGTCCTGTCCCCTGTCGACTCCTCCCAGGCAGACCAAAGTGGTTCAATTCTAGACTCACCCCTGGGTCCAATTATCAGTAACTTAGCAGGTAAAAACTTTGTTCGGTTGATTGGTGTAAGCAGATTTTCAACCTACAGATGGCAGTATGGTCCTGCTCAAAATTCCTTCTGCTGCCTCCATTATTTTCTACACTGCACAATCACTGTTTCAATCCTGACTCCCATTCTACAAGGTGGCACCCTGGTGCTGTCTTATTCTGTCATCCACAAGAAAAAAGGATCTAATTAGCCATGAGAACAGCCATGAACTAGCTTAAGATCACAAATGAATCCCATAAAGTCAGGTAAAAAGCACACTTACGATGTTCACAGCTTATTTGGGGCGGCTGTGGCTGAGTGGTTAGAGCAGTCATCCTCCAGTGCAAGAGTTGGGAGTTCAATTCTCCAGCAGTCACAGGCTAAAGTGTCCCTGGGCAAGACACTGAACCCCTCATTGCCTCGATGTACTTTGTATGAATGTGATTTAAAAGCACTGATTAGTCCTTGTAGAGGTCTAGTAGAGTGCTGTATGAATGGGTAAATGAGAGCACATATTAATGTAAAGCACCTTTTGTCTCTTGATAAGATAGAAAGGTGCTGGATAAGTACAGTCCATTTACCATTTATTTTCTGGTCTGAACATCAGCGCCTCATCTTCAGCTCTCATCTGACTCATGCACCACATGTATTTATTTTGTGTTCGGCTGAAAGGGAGGAGTGTGTTCACAAAACTATCTGTCAACACGACCGGTGTTTTAGGAAAAGTTCAGAGTGCCTCAGGGACCTAGTTGAGCTTCACTGGTAAATAAAGTGGAGGACACACTGCAATGACAACAAGAGGGAATTAAAAATGTCTGAGCCAATAGAGTGTTGAGGGCAGAGAGAAAGAAGGACACTGCACTTTCTCTGGCAGGCTTTAGACTCTTCTGTTTCCTGACTTAAGTGTAGCTAAAACTAGAACATTTCTGAATAAAATTTACAGTTTGAATACAGCTACAGCCTGAATTTAAAACATTCCTGAAG